CAGGCCGGGGATGCTCGGAGGGTGCTGGGGGACCCGCCAGGCCAGGGAGCACGGGGCTGGGCTCAGGTCTGCTGCCGCGCTGCAGCTCCCCGCCGTGCATCTCGGCGAGGACAGGCCCGGCGAACAGCCCTTTTGCCACCCGAGGCCATCCGTCTTGTCATGCAAACATACAAAATCCCGCTTGGGCGCCTCATTGCTGCTCCTGGGGGGGTTGCAGCAAACCTGGCTTTCCCAGGAGCCATGAGCTCGGCGCAGAGTGGCTCGAACCCATCCGAGCGGGCAGCTGGCTTCTGCCCTTGGCGCTGCCAGCACGACTTGCAGGCAGCCACGGCGGCGCGATGGGACGTGGCGTTCCCTCGGGCCAGTCTCTGCTGCGTACCTGGAGGCCTGTTTGTTTTCCAGTCCTGGTTTTTGGAATGATCAAGGGCTGCCGGGGCCTGCTGGCTCTGCCTGCCCTCACCAGCTCCCTGCCCTTGGTTCTTTGCCCATTGGACAGGGCCAAAGGATTAGGAATGGAGAGGGGGGCAAAGATAACTCGGGGGTGCCCTGGGACAAGGCAGAAGGCAGGAACACGCAGGTTGAACATCAGGGGAAGGACTCGGCTCAGTTTTCATCCTCTGCAAGTACTTAGATGGACTCCTCTTGCCACGATCTTTCAGCAGCACGAGGGATCGCCCTGTCTTTAACCCTTTTGTTCTTTCCTCTTCTCTCCTGTCCCATCCCTGCAGCCATCTCCATCTCTTCTCTCCCGTGGAGCTGTGGTCCCGGCGGCGCAGCAGCTCTCCCACCTTCACCGTGTCCGGCAGAAGCGAGCATTTCATGCCAGCTTGGGACGATCCACCAGCGCCCAGAGAGCTGGGACCCGTGGTCTGGCACCGCTCTGGGACGAGATGGCATCTCCAGATGTTGACCTCCCCAATAACAGCGAGTGAGCCTTCGCCCTTCCCCAGCTTCTCCAGCGCCCCGGCCCGTGCCCGGAGGGCTGGTGCCATTCGCAGGGCCAGGAGAGGGATCGGCTGGGGCTGGGGACAGGGACAGAGCCGTCCCGCAGCCCGGCACCGCTGGAGGAGCCCAGGAGGTGGGTGACCCACCTCACAGACTTGGTGACGCAGCAAAAAAGCACCTTTTCTTACCTCAGGATTCCTGCCCACGTGGCAGGGGTTGCCAGCTGGGGCGAGAGCCTTCACCGTGGCCGCCTGACCTTTAAAGAAAGGTGGTTGGAGAGATGGAGGGAGCAGAAATCCCTGAAAGATTATTTGTTTCTCACGAACTATATTTAGCTGCCATCGGCAAAACCCAAAAGTGCTGAGTTCTGCTAAATAAATACGGGAGCCTTGTGTTTCTTTCCCCCAGAGGAGAACAGGATTAGTAAGGGAACGGTAAATAGTATTTTTGTTTGACATACCTGAGGGTTTCCATTCCAAGTTGCTGTCTTGAGCTCTCGATGCCGTGATGCCGATGATGGACCTAAAGCGGCACTGCCCCATCTTGTGAAAATATTTTTTTGGAAAAGAAAAGGAGGCAGCCGGCTTACCCACCATGGCACTGCTTTTTTTTTGGTTAAACTTTGCGTTCCTGAGTATTTTCATAAATGTTTGGATATTAGGATGTTTTTAAGCTAGAAGTAGGTCACGCTGGTGCCACTCCAGTAGCAAAGCCCTTCCCCGGCGGGATGCACGCCCCGGGCTCCCTGCACCCACCGGTGCTGCCCCGGCAGGACGGAGCGCCCAGGCGGCCGTGGGGGTCGGGGTGGCCCTTGGCTGGTGCAAGCGGGGCTGCAGGGGACGGCGAGGAGGTCACCTTGCTCGTCTGGAACACGCTTGGGTCGTCTTGGGTTTAATTCCTTGCTGGTTTGGATTCCCCATGCCTGAACCCCGTCTCCCCCAGGGGTCCCACTGGGATCAGAGCCGGGCTTCCCAGTGGAGCGTTTGTGGGTGGGCTGTGGGGCTGCGGGAGGGTGCCAGGCAGGCGAGGGGCGCTTGCTGATCGCTCAGGGGTGTAAGAGCCCATCGGCCCGGCCGGGCGCGATGAGGAGCGGAGCGATCAATCAGAAAACACCCCTTTGGACGCGAAGGCCAAAGCCCACAGGCGGTGGGAGGCAGCGGGGCAGAAGGGCTCTGGGTTCATCTTGAGCAGAGCAGAAAACCTGTTGCCCCAAAGTCGTCAAAATTCCGTGTCCCTAGAGCTGGCTCTGCCGGGACATCAGCGTCTGTCCCTTGTAGAAACAAGGCACTGGGGTAATTCGGGTCCTTATTGCAGTAGCTCTTCTCCAGAGAGGGCCAAGGGGAGGTTGCGATGGAAAACAATGCACAACAGCGGTGCCCTGGTAAGCAGATCAGAGACACGGCTCCTCCTGGAGCTGCTCCTCTGGCCAGGTTAGAGATGAGGGCCTCAGAGCATGCTCCACGTGGAGAGGAGAAGATGAGGACGGTGCTTAAGGAGGAACCAGGTCAGGGAGGAGGCTGCTGGTACCAGATGGTTTGTCAAGAGCAAGAAGTGACCCAGCCTTGGGTAGAACCATCAGAAAGAGGACTGTGACCTGAACACGGACTGATCTGGGGCCTGGGAAGAGAAGAAGAAATGCAACACGGCGTTTCCCAGCGCTGATGAGCTCTGTCCAGTAACAGGGAAGAGGACAGCGAGAGCTCAGGTGTGTGCAAATACTCAACCTAAAGTTGCAAAGATGGGAGAGCTTCAGTCTGGGCTGCTCCAGCCTGCTCATTACTCTTGGTCCCAGCCTTGCTGGAGAAGTTGAAACCAACCCAAGCCAAAAGAACTGGAAGTGCCGAAATTCTTCCCGGCCCACCCTGATGAGTCCACGCAGCTTGGTGGAAGGTGTCCGCATCCAGCTGCCATGGCTGTGCTGAAGCTTGCAGCGAGCACAAGGAGGACTTTGACCGCAGCACCGACGGCGTTGCCAGCAAGCGGGGGCCGGCGAAAGGCCACCCAAGGTTATGGGGCACCCAGGGGAGGTTGCGGGGTGGCAGTGCCTTGAGGTTGCACTGGAGACCTTTGGGTTGACTTAACAACCAAATGGGCAGCTTGGCCCGTTCAATAGTATGTTAAAACCATTTCCAGCAAGTTCAAGTCCTCGCAGCCGCCTCCGTGGCTGGGGCAGCACGGCGTGGGCCTGGGCTTGGCTCTGCGGGGGTGCTCCTTCTTCCCAGGGGTGTTTTGGTCGTGTCCCTACCGAGCTCCTGCCTGCGAGCCCACACCAGCTTGAACCGGTGCAGGTGTGCTTGGCCCATGGCACCGTTCAGAGGTGGCAGAGCAACAACATGAGCTGTGCACAAGAGCGGGCTGGGGAAGCGGGAGCTTTCTGCCAGACCATGAGCACGTGCAGCTCTGGCTTTGGGGGTGGCAGGGCTTGAGGGTGCTCCCATGCTTCCCAGATTGCCTGGGAGAAGGTTTCTCTTCCAGCCAAGTAGCGGTGCTGGTGGCCAGGGTGCGTGCCCGTCATGGCAAGCCCCTTGCCAGGCAGTTGCAGCGGCCCTGGAGCTGCAGAGCTGCCTCCTGGATTGCGTTTGCTGGGATTTCGGCTGCTCCTGGGAGAGACACGAGGGACTTGACGCAGACCCGGGAAGCCTGGATGTCCCGGGGGGCACAGCCGCCGTGGGGCATCCCGGAACCCCCCTACCCCGTCCCGGGGTGCTCCCAGCCCCGGTGCTGCGGGACTCAGCCCCAGCCTGGCTCCAGGCTGCCCCGTGGTTCTCCCCTTCTCCTCTGGATCGTATTTATTTATTTATACGGTGAATGTAATAAAACTCCAGCAGGAAACGGAGGCGATTCCCTGCCATTCCCCGCAAGCCGGCCCTGGGCCGGGGTGAACAAGGAGGAGCATTGTGCGGCGCAGACCTGCCTGCCAGCGCTGAACCGTGCGCGGGGCCGAGGGGCAAAGAAAGGGCCGTGTGTGTCTGTGCCTGCACCGGGACCCGGTGCCGACACCCGCCTGGGGAAGAAGCTTCAGTTCGGAGGGCAAGCAGGGCTGGGGATGAAAGGGCTCACGCGCTGGCTTGGGATGTTGTCTGGGAGCACCGCAGAGCCTGCTCCCAGCACAAGGCACCTCCTCTGCTCGTCCTTGGGCTGCCAGGAAACAGGGGTGGGCACTGAAGGTCAGCTGGGGGGCAGACAGTCACCCCATGGCCCGATCTGGCGTCTGTATGACCTGCTCTTCCCAGCGCTGAGCCAGCTGGGAGGGAGCTCCAGCCCTTCGCCTGCCTCCATCAGGCAGTTGCTGCAAACTGAAGATGCTGCCATCAGTAAGATTCAGAGTGAATGCCTGCTGCTGAGGCTCACCTGGGTCCTGTCCTCCCCCCCCCCCCCCCCCGAGTGATCGGTAGGGGCGAGCGAAGTGGCTGAGGACAGGACATGGCTCAGTCCAGCTTCGCCTTTGATGGGGAGGGGGTCCCCACGGCCAGGGACGTGCGCCCCAGCCCCCCAGAAGGCTGTAGGCAGCCTGTTGTGCTGCCAGCCACGTTCCCAGCCACACTCACGGCTAAAATACTGCGGGAGAGGCAGCGGGGGTCTGCCCAATGTCCCCTCTCAGCCTCTTGCTAGCCAGCTCCCCACCCTGCTAGCCGGGGCTCCCCCGGGGCTCCCCGCTGCCCCGTCCCCTGAGGCCCATGGCTGCACGTGGTCCCCATCCGTGTGCCGGTCCCTCGGGCTCCCAGGGCTCCTGGGGGGGTGGGGACATGCCCTGCACCGGGTGTCTCCTGCCTGCCTCATGTCTACACTGCGGTGATGGGGGTGTCGTGGCCCGGGGACCCTGTGGCCACAGCCAGGAAGGTGGGCTAGCTGGCAGCAGGACTGTCCCTCCATGCCACCCGCAGTTTGTGGTGGCCGCACGGTGCCCACGGCTCCCCAGTCACCATCCCTGGGGAATTCCTGTCACCCTGTGTCCCTGAGCCCTGGCCGTGGTGTCCTTGCACCATGGGCTGGGGTTGTCACTGCGAACACACACAGGGGACCCAAGGCCAGGAGGTGACTGGGGAGCTCAGGACATGGCGGTGTCCGGGGATGCTGGTGTCACCCTGCTGCTGCCCCGGGATGGCCGGGGGACCCCGCTGGGCGAGCGGAGGCCGCAGGGGGTGACGATGGGATGGCGGGGGTGGGTGCTGAGCACAGCATCCCCTGCGCTGCGGCCCTGTCACCTTGCCCCTGCAGCACCTTCCGCTGGCCGCAGCCGCGCAGCTGCCCGTTCAGGCAGGGAAGGCAGATACAGGCAGCGGCTCTCGTGGCTCCTCGAACCGAAATCACACACCTGGGGGGAAAGGGGGTAAAAAACCTCCTGGCTCCTGCAGGAAATCTCCCTGCCACCCCCTCGGCGGTGGTGCAGAGGCGCGGCCACTGCTGCCCGTGAGTGGGCAGGTTGTGCCGGGGACTCCGGGCGGGCAGGGATGTCATCCCACTGCCCTGAGGGGCACAGCGGGGTTTGGGAAGAGATTTCCTTCCCTGGGATCGGGGGGATCAGGTCAGGCTCTGACCCGGATAGGAGGGGACCCTGCAGAACCTTTGGCATGGCTGGGGAGCGTGCCAGCCCGTGCTGTGCCAGCCGGGACACTGGGAGCGCAGATGGCAGCAGGGTGAGAGTAGGAGGGGACAGTCCTGTCCTTCAGGGGACACATACCAGGGTCTGGGTGTCTCAGCAGCAAGTGACAGGGTGTCAGTGCCTGGCTGGGGGCCAGCGGGACCCCCAGCACGTGGGGCTGGGGTGCTCAGCGCTCCCTGCCTTGCTTGATGCTGCTGGCACTGCCGCCGTGCCCACGGTGCCCTTCCAGGAGCGGGTTGCCTGCCCGGTGGCACACGCTGCAGAGCCCGGTGAAGCCACTAAAACAGCGGCGAGTGGGGCTGGTGCTTCCCCCCCACCGGGGTTCTCACTGCTATAATTAATGCCGGAATCAGGGAAGAAATGGCTTTTCCCTTCCGTTGGCACTGGCTGGGGCTGGGCAGGATCCACGCCGCACATTCACCCATCTCCTCCTGCCGGTGTCGGGTGCCTCCATCCGTTTGGTTGGGGACTGTCCCCTCAAATCCCCATCTTCCCACCCCGCTGCTGCCTGCCCGCGGCGGGGAGCCTGGCAGGGCGCTCACGGAGGCCACGGGGCACAGAGCATCCCTTGCCCTGTGGCGTGCACGGGCTGGTGCACACGCGTGTGCATCTGCGTCACACAGGCCCGTGCCCAGGGGCAGGAAGGGTTCGGGTGGAGGTTTGCTCCCGCTGCTGCATGGGAGGGTGTCCCCAGGGAGACGGTGGCCGGGACACGGGGCAGCTGCCCCTCCGGCTGGGTGGGTGCCAGCCTGCGGCCCTGTGGGGTGGCCAGTGTGGGGTGCTCCTGGGATGGACCCCTCCACCTGCTTGCCAGCCCATCCGGCCCCAGCACCGGCATCCCTTTGAAATTGAAGCCGCTGGCCTTTCACACCAGCTATTCCTGTGAAATTCTTCAGGAAGGGAAAATTATCCCCCTCCGGATCCCTGTGCCATCGCCCTCCCTCCGGGCTGGCAGGGAGAGCATGGGGTGCTGCGGAGCCCAGGTTCGCCCCTGGGCACGGCGGGTGGCCTGTCCTTGCTATTTGCGTTTGCCCTCCCTGCCCCATCCCCTGCCCTATTGCCCCTTCCCCACCTTCACTGCCCTCTCCCCAGCTCCATAGCCCCTCCCCACCTTCGTCACCCCCTCTGCTCCATCACCCCCTCCCCAGCTCCATCACCTCCTCCTCTATGCCACGGCTCCCTCCCCACCTCCATCGCCCCTTCCCCACCTCCACTGTTCCCTCCTCTGCTCCATCACCCTCTCCCCAGCTCCATCAACCCCTCCCCAGCTCCATCACCTCCACTTCTATGCCACAGCTCCCTCCCCATCTCCACCACCCCCTCCCCATCTCCATCGCCCCCTTCCCACCTCCATCACCCCCTTCCCAGCTCCATCACCTCCTCCTCTACGCCACGGCTCCCTCCCCACCTCCATCGCCCCCTCCCCTGCTCCACTGTTCCCTCCTCTGCTCCGTCACCCTCTCCTCAGCTCCATCACCCCCTCCCCAGCTCCACCACCCCCTCCTCAGCTCCACCACTCCCTCCCCAGCTCCATCACCCTCTCCCCAGCTCCATCGCTCCCAGCGGGGCTGTCCCCAGCACTGGTGCCAAGGGGGATCCTCCAAACCCTTTGACCCAGGGAGGACTCATCCATGGCTGGGCAAGAGGGGCATTGCTGCAGCCTCTCTACGCCGGGGTGGCAGCAGGGGGATTTTTCTCCACCCATGGCCCTTCCCGCTCGCCTTCCCCCTCTCCTCGCTGAGGCTCTCGCACAGGTTTGCAAGCGCTGTTGACGGGAAGAAAGGAAATGGGGCAAAGCTGCTGCCAGGAACCACAGGCTCCCGGGCTCCTGCGATACGGCCCCGCTCCGTCGGGCTGGCCGCTTCCCGGGCAGGATTTCTGTGCAGCCTCTGTGAGCCCTTTCTTCCAGCTGTTGATATTGGATTCCCAGCCCAGGGCCACTTCCAAAACCATAAATCTGCTGTGTTGCTCTACCTGGTGTTCTTGTTTTCACTGCGAGGCTTCCAGACCTGCTGGAGATCTCGGCTTCTGTGCATGGCCGTGATGTCCCCATCCCGGTGGAGAACATCGTGCTGTCCCCTCCCGGCTGTCCCGGCGTACCCCAGGGGTGCGGGCACGGGCGGGCAGGTCGCGGCCCAGCAGGCGCAGGCAGCGGGGCAATGAAAACGCAAGACTTGGCCAAGGGCTGGGATGCTGGTGGCACCCCCGGTACCCCCCTGCCCACCGCTGCGGGCGGGATGAAGCTCCAGGAAGAGCTCTGTGGGTCCTTTGCCGTCTTCACCGCAGATCCCTGAGGCTTGGCCAGGGCTTGGGCATCCCAGGAGCACCCAAGGAGGGTGTCGGGGCGGGGAAGGAGCACCCCAGGGTGCCACCCCAGGGTGTGGGGCGGAGGTGAGGGGCGGCCGCTCCTCTACATTAAAAGGAGCCCCTTGACTCCGAAAATCCACGTGTTGCTCTTGGCTGGGCTGCGGCGCCTCCTGCCAAGAGCAACAGTTTTACAAATTAAAGCAAAATTAAATTAAAAGACATTTAGTTGTGCGTTTCCCCCCCCCTTCGCAGCCCAGGCGGGAGGGTTGGGAGGTACGAGGGCGCCCGTGGGGGGGAGCTGGGACGGTGGGGCTGGCACCCCGGGGTCCCATCCAGCCCCTGCCCGTGGGCCCTGCCGTGCCTGCTGCTGGCCCAGAACCCTCGCCGGGTGGCCAGGGCTGGGTGCTGAGACGGTTGGGTGTTTCCAGGTGATGTTTCCAAGCTTTCCTTAGCAAACGGCTCCCTAAAGGGAAGCCTTGGCAGCAGGAGCTGGGCTTTAGGGTGCCCCGGAGCAGTGGCAGTGCCACCCTCGGGTCCCTCACCCCACGCAGGACCCGCGGCCCTGGGGCTGGGGGGTGGATGGGGTAAGCGACCCCAGGGCCAGGTCCCAGCACCCCGCGGGCGCCACCTCCATCCCAGCCGTGGCAGACACCGCTGTGGCCGCCAGCTCATCCGTGGGTGACGATTTACCCCCAGAACTGCACCGCAGCACAAACCCACCCCTTTCCTGGAGCACACGAGGAGGAGCGTGGCCTGAACCCGGGGCGCGAAGCCCCCTGAAGCTGCTGCTCCGGGCACAGGGGACGGTGCTTTCACCCCGAGCTGGTGGCCAAGGGGACAAAGTCCCCTCTGGCACCCCAAATAACCTCAAATAACCCTTTTCCCAGGGCCCTGGAGCCGGGGGAGCAGTCGCCCCGTGCTAGAGGGAAATTCCAGGGCGACGGCTTATCTCCCGCACCGTTACAATAACCGATAAGCGGCTCCCATGGAATTTCCTTATAGTGCCGAATCGGGGATGTTTAAATAATGTATGGCCGGGGTGTCAGTCCGCGGCGGGCGATTAGGAGCCGCGTTGACAGCTTGTTATGTTGTTACTAAAGAAATCGCAGGGCTGCGGGAACGCCTGGGAACGGCGCTCGCGGGGACCCTGCCTGAATTGTCCCCGGGATGGCTGAGCGTGGGTCTCCCTGTCACAAACGGGTGCTGGGGGTGGCGCGGAGCACCCTGCGCCGGCACCCCAGGGCCAACTGGGGGATCGGCAGCTCCCGCAGACGGGGGGCAGCTGGTGGCGCCCTGTGAAGGTGGCACGGGTGGCCAAGCCCGTCCCCAGGGGTGCTGCCACCCCAGCGTGTTTTTGATGCCCTTGGCACCTCCAGCCGGGCACCCTCAGCCTCCCCTTGCCCCCGGCACGGGTGATCGGTCACCCTGCGAGTGGGCCACTGGATTTCGGGGGCTGGCAGCCCCAGCGCGGCCACGCTGACTTGTGTCGCCACCCGGGAGCTGCCCTGGCCCCGCGCATCACCAGTGCCGGGTGGCATCGCCGTCCCCTGCCCTGCAGGGGTGGCACCCGGGGACAGAGGGTGCTGGGCAGGGACGCGGCTCTGCCAGCCCCTGCCGT